TATACAAATTATGTTATAATAGTCTACAACCTTGTGCATGTATAGCAAGTCAACAAGAGAGCTAACAATTAGGCCTAATCCCACCCAAAAATTGGAAAATGTTGCATTGTGAGGGCACAAATGAGGGGAAACATTGTCCTGTGCTGTTGCCCATAAATGAAGCATTAACTTAAGCTGTTATCTCTCTGCATGGGGTTGCTGGGCTCATGGCCAAACAGAGAGTATATAAAAACTGAGTGAGAGAAAGTGCGAGGTGAGTGATACCATCAAACCTTCTAGTGATCTAGCTTTGCTATCAGCTGTGATTTAAAAAGCAAGACTCTATTCCACTCACTTCTCTTCCCGAGATGTTTGCGGCCTCACATTTCCCCTCTTTGGCACAGTCTTGTTTAGGTTGGCCTCCTGGGGTGACTCGGAGTCCATGATCCCATTTTGGGGTCTCTTTGCGGTAAGTCATAGAGATGACAGACCAGGCCATTTGATCTACCTCTGTGTCTCATGAGTGCTACGTGATATGCGTGTTTTTGATTATTCCCCGCTAGCTGGGCACTCGCCGGTCTCAGAAACATGACTAGATATTTGATTTGATTGCTCTGATGTGACTCTGAAGTGTGGTGCTGTGCTGAGGATCCTCAGTATGTGATCAAATTTGTGATCAAAAAGTGCATTTTGACAGAGCTATATTACAGACAGTATTAATTAGATGAAAATGTCAAATACATGTATTAATAGATTTTTCCATGACTTATTTTTCCGTGATGCAAAGCCATAACCTAAGGTCTAAGTAACTCTTTTGGCTCTTTACAAAATGATATTGACATTTCAAGCTGATCTTCTTTTTAATAAGCAGGTTAACTACTGGAATTGTTTTTATGTGTAACCACAAAACTGCAGATGGCTTAGTACAGATCTGGCAGTGTTTGTGGAAAAGACAGGCATGGTGGTTGGGAGCACCACCATAACCCACAGGTGATCTTATCGTCTTAAGATCACTCACTCACACACACACACACACACACACTCACAGTAGACATATATACACATAATAACACAATAATTAGACTAGATAAACAAACATTGAAAAGCCCACACTTAACAGGTATTTGTTAATATGCAACTAAGTTGTGAGCTGCCAGGAACTCATCTTCCAACATGTGTTGCAGAGGGATAATCGCAGAGAATTTACTGCTCATCGTCTTCCATCTTAACAACTGCAGAGTTTTCGGTTGTCAACCTGAAGATCAACACTACCAATTTGACGAAATTATAGCATCAAAAAAAAGAACAACAGCGGTCACAATGAATCATGCGCTGAGCGTGGATTACAAGAGGTTGTAAAACACAAGGCAGATAATCCGCTAAGAATGTGTCATCTCTGATTACAGCGGTCACTCCTCAGCTGGGATCAATGTGCTGACAGATGAACCTGCTCTTAAAGGGGAATAGCAACAAATTTTTGCTGCCAAATGTATGATTTTTGATTTGTGAATAATAACTTCTTGCTATAAACAACAACAAAAAAAAGTTTGTACCACCCAAAATTCTGTGATGTGTAATTGGGGAACAGCTGGCTCCATATAAAAAGATCTGCAGCAGTATGAGTGTGACAGAGTTCAAGTTGATTTTCTGGGAATCAAAGAGAATTTTCTGGATTGCAGTTGATAGACTTACCACATCAAATGTGAACCTAGCATTACATAAATATCATTTATTGCCAAATGAGCGGCTTCTGACTGTGCATCTGCATGAACTCAACAAAAAAAAGCTTGTTTGGAGTTTTAACTTGGCGAGAGCTGCTGATATTTCCAAGACATATGTGACATTTGTTAATTCTTAACTTGGTATCCCCATTTAAACATTCTGCGGCCCACATTTTAGTCTCTCTCTGTCTCTCTCCTTGTCTTCAAATTCTCCATAACATCACATGACTGTAGTACGGGCGGCCTCAGAAACAAAACGGCACATAAGAACAGGACCTACAGTACTTGCAGACAGTAGGTCTAGCACAAGGCTGCTTTAATCAGTCCCTCGCTACCACATCTAGTCCACCGACAACAATAACAGCTCGACTATTTCAACAGGCTGTGGCCAGAGCTAACACGCAGAGAGGGACGGGTTGAGTTAATTTTCTGAATCCCAGGCTGTTGTGCTGGTCAAACAAATAAAAACAAAGATCAAACCATTACCACTGCTGGTTATCTAATAAACACTATCCATTCAGAATCCAATTTCTTTTTTTCTCAAAGAAATGCATACACAAATATCCATATTGCCTTGATACAGTGGCACACATGTGTTACAGTGCAATAACTATTACATCTATAATCATCACATCTATCACCCTTGGGCACTGTTTTTGGCCTTTAAGCTCCAGGAAAGCTAATACTGGAAGCTCCTCTGGACAAAAGTGTCACCTGAAAGCCTCAAATGTTAATGTGAGTCATTTCATTAGACCTTCATTTGAAGTAAAGGTTAGTAGTTACATAAAAAAGCACTTATAGTAAACAAAGAGCCTGGACTGCTTCACTCTGTGATTACAACAAATCACTGTGCCAGAGGTGGGTCGGTGAAAAACAGTTTAATAAACCATTAGCTCTTTGGGTGAGCACGTTCCTTCGTCCGCTCATTCTGATGCATAGACTTCCGCCTAGTCCATGCAGAACCATATGTACGTGAGAGCTAATGACTATGACTAGGGAAGCCTGGATTAGGTCTTGCTGTGGTTCATGACACATGCACTCTCTGAAACACACACACACACGTACACAAACTGAAAGGCTAGCCACATCATGTGTAGATTTGGAGAAACCTAAAAAAACACATAACATAAACAAATGTATGTACAACTTGATTAAAACTTAAAATACATGCAATGGGTTTTCCACAAAATCGTTCTAAATGACATGATTATATACATGGTTATAACCAACTCATCACTCATGTTAATGGAGGGGATTCTCTGGGATAAACAACTTATCTTGACAACGTGGGTGTGCTAATTTAGCTTCCAATTTTAAGTGAGAAAACCTTCAATGTGAAATTTTATTTAACACTAAACAAACCGCATCCAAACAGCGCTGGCAATGCTTGATATAAGTTTAATTTAACCTAAAGCTAAAAACACAAGAGCGGTGCTATTTATTCAAGCTTGTTGGGCTTGAACAAAAGGAGCATTTATAAAGGATTTCCAGAGATTCAGAAAATTACGGTGTTAAAGCCACTCTGATGCCTCTGTATATTTTGTGCTGGCTATAGGCAATTTATTTTGACAGAGTTCAAGTTTTTTCATTGCACAACATCCCTCATTGTAAAAAGACATAAGTGTATTGCCAGCAAACCAAAAAAAAATCATTGACATTAAGGGGGCTTCTCTTTGGGGACATTTTGGTCTTTATGAACTGACAGCAGGGACATGTGCAATCCCTTAATACAGAACAAGTGCACAGGCTAAAGAATACCATGCCATTTGTCTTTGGAAGACTAACGAATTATCTCCTGTGTGGAGCAGGAAAATCATCCAGTAATTCTGCACTCATGGGGTAAGCCCTCAAGTCAAATAAAATTAGGCTCAAATGTCTGGACAAGTTACAGTAACAGTGACCACCTAGCCTCAAGGAAATAAATCAGCAAGCCACGCAGGCAGTCACTGAGGGAGACTAGAGAAGGGCAACAGGTGGCTGTCAACTTAGAGCGAAAGAGGGTCATCATCCACTTAGAGAAGAGCGGCGAGTCTGTCTGCCGCTCCCCAGGCTTCACTAAGCTAAGCCAAACACCAGCAGGAGGAAAGAATAAGGTAAAGCCAGTTCAGAGTAGTGTGCGGACAAGGTTCGGCCAAATATTCAATTACAGTCATGTTCAGCGCATAACCTGTAACATCGGGAAACAACTGGAAATGTCTTTTGGGTATCCTGTGTTATAAAATCAGGGAGCATCTCCCAACAATGTTATAAACAATAGGAATTAAGTGTAACAGTTTGAGAAGCCTGCTAATATAATATATGAAAGGTTTACCATATCAGTTACATAATTATAATGGCAAGTGCATCAAAGAGAAACCCTCTTTGCAATCATCATGAGCAAACAAATAAATAACCAGAGATGGCTATCATAGATAGTTCTCAGATCATAGTGACTTCATTCAAATGAAAAATGTCTGGACCTTTGGTTTACTTCTACTGCATTAGAGGAAAACGACCAAATTCTGACAATTTACAGCATAATAGCTTTTCCAGGCATTGAGTTATTTTTACACTTGAAGCCTGTAGAGGAGGCCCTGTGTGTCTCTGTGTGAGAATGTGTGCTCCTCCACGTTTTGCTACTGACAACCACAGTACTCTTTGCTAACAAACCCTACAAGTCACTGGTAAATTACTTTACAAGGGCATGTGCATTAATCTCTTACATTAGATATACATTAAACAAGGTAGCAAAAAAATAAACACCTATTTATCAGTTACCTCTTGCCAGAAAGATGTTGGCAGGAAAGTCTAAAACAAGAACTTAAGCCAAAAACCAGTACATTGTACATTAGTAAAAGCTCAGGCAGTTAGCATCCTCAGTTTAATCAAAAGCCAACAACTTCTGATAAGCACATTCTGTGTGTTTGCAAGCATTCCACGTGCATGGACATTTGCATATGTTTTCACTCAGCGCTTTGTGCTAGTTTCCTCACATTACTCAAAGACACCAGGAGGCCCAATAAAACAAAGTGACAGAACACAGTAACTCCAAAAAACATTAAATGTTTTCAGTCTCTGCTTCATGCCAGTGCTCTGTTTTTTAGAGTTGTTGAAATGATTTTAATTCTCGCTCAAATTAAGATTCCAGGCTATTTCCCAAAACTGCCACTGTGCAAGCTCAACAAGGACCCCAATAAAACAATCCACTGGTAGCAGGGGTAATTAAAACCCCACTGGTGAAATATACTGAGAAAGACAAGTTGACAGTCATAAAGTCAGATGTGATGTACAGTATAGATTATAGTGCAGTTTATTACCCACCAATGCAGGCATGAACTCTGACGGATAGCTGTGTTCGAAGAATAATGCTGTGTTTCTTGCCCCTCCTGTGAAGAAAAAAAGACAAATGGAGAGAAAGAGAAATGTTACTTGGACATTAAGCCATGCATGATTATTTAAATTTGTTTGTGTCTGCGTGCTTCTGTCTGTGTGTGTGGTGGTGGTGGTACACACGCTATCAAGATAAAGACACAGAATGTCTCTCTGATCTGAGGCAGCCATCAATATGTCTGGGCAAGCGTGTGCTGACAAGATTAAATGGCTGAATAGCTACTGCGCAAAGGTGCAAAAAGATCTTCAAGCTAAATTCTTTTTCAACAAATTATACCATTCAGTCTTCCAAACAATTCAATATTTGCAGTTTGAACACACCAGGGAAAAAGGTTACGGAACAGAACAGGGGAAAGGTCGCCATAGGCAAAAAATGAATGATGGGAGCAGCTCAGAGGTCAACCCCGCCCCCTGAGTTAATGGAGATATGCCAAGATCCTATCACCATCCTATCAACTGCTTACAATGTCTGAATGACAAGCCAAAACAAAGACAACAACAATGCACCCCAATTCCATTCAGTCATGAAAGTGAAAGCAGTGCGGCTTGTAGTCATGCAAAGGATAATATGGCTACTTAGAAGCCCACTCTCTAAATTGTGTGCAGAGTTTGATGAAATTTTTTTTCCTTAACATCAACAAATAGCATGCAAAGACCCTAACCAACAATGCTTTAGTCCATCTCTCAATACTTTCCGACTTCCCTACCCTGTCTGTGGTAGTCTGCCACAAGCTCAGTCGTTACTATTGATAATGTAAATCTTTAAAGGCTCACTCATTTCTTTTAACAGTTGGGCAATGTAGTATTAACTAACAGGATTACATAGTGAATTTCCGGGGACTGGTTTCAGACATGGATTATAATACATACATGCTGCATTGGTTGGTATTTATGTCAGCAGGACGGTGCGTGCAGGATTGACATTAAGGAACAACTCACCAGTGTGGCTCACTGATGTGTTTTTAATAGATTTTTGACAATAATGGATATCTTTGGCAGAAATTAAGTATATCAGGCATTGGCTGCACAGTAAATACTTGTTCGTGGGGTTGTTGACGATAAGAATAATATAGAATATTATTAGCGTGAAGTGTTTTTCATAGAGTTATAATTAAACATTTGTTCAGGGCTTGTGTTTGCATCCCAAATGTGAACTAAGCCAAACATTAAAATTAAATGATGACTCAGATCTTGTTGTTGTGCTGTCTCACTTAATTTGATAGGGAGAGCACATTCCAATCCCATGTTTTGAATTTTGGTGGTGGGGGCCACCCTTTTGTTTACATTTGGATCACAGATTGTGCCTTTAACCTCCCAACTAGCTAAAGAAGCATACAAACAAACCCAGCAGACAACTGTAGACAAGAGCACAGCAGGTAGAGTTGCTCAACAACCCCCCCCCCCCCCCCCCCCCCCCCCCCCCCCCCCCAATTCGGCTCTCTAACAAATGGGCTTTTATGCTGCCTGCACAAAAGCTGTGTGATTGTTCGGACTGGCACAGCGCCAGCAACAGGCTGTTATGTTCATGACAATCAGGCAGTAGTGGGTCTGACAGACAGAAAAAAGTATCACCACATAAGACAGATCCTACTGATGTCTCACCATAAACAATACTGTATAACTTCTCCACACATCCAGACAGAGCAGGCATCTTTCCTGCCCCAACCAGTCAGCGGGAGACTGCACTGACATGCACACAGGCAGATTATATGGCTGGGTTAGTCTGTATAAATTCACTGTTTATTAAATATAATATGAAGCAACGAGCAGAGGCGACACAGGAGCAACATCTGTCAACGTGGACCTTCACTAGAGTGAGATGAGACAGCATACATTAACTTAATCCTCCATGATGCTGTTGAGGCAAATGGGTAACCAGAGCCATTGTGTCACAAAAGTCTGCTTTCTCTCTGCTTGGCTGCAACAGTATCCCCGTGCTTCACCAAGACCTGAGGCTACACAGGCCAACATGCTCATTATCAAATTAAACAAATGTGTATGGAATAATATAAGTGAGGTTTTCAGGACCCCCTCACCAATTAAACATGAACATTGGACGCTCCTGCAGACAGTGATGCGGGCCTGTTAGGGGTGCAGACCAAAGTTACAGAACTAATCACAACCATAAAGAATGACTTCCAAATAACCAATTAGCTACATGTTGGGATATAATACCTACTGATTCCCTTGTCCTCTTTTAGTCTTATATATGTCTGTCAGATTCATCACGTGCAGCAGCATGCTTTTGAAATTCCCTTTTATTGCTATCATTTGAATAAACCTCATTATTTTTAATAATCTCAAAAAATGAAAAAACCTGACAAGCAATTATTCCTTACTTTTTAATTTTTTTACTTCGTGACCATTACCCAAGGCAATTGGTCAAATTTAGATGGCTTTATAAAAAGACTAAACGAAAGTTTATTAAGCATTTAAATAAATAGTGTGCTATAAATATTTCACTTAAAAGCATAAATTTGATATTCATCATCATCACTTTGCCTATCAAATGTTATAAAAAGCTGTGAAATTAGAAACATTACATTATTATCCTCTCTATTCTCTCCCATCACTGGTCTGTTGTACGGCACTCTCATAAAGCCCCGTCTTAATCCTAATACCCAGAGCAGCGGCAACTGGACCAGTGGATGCCTGCCAGCTCCATGCTCTCTGGCTTTATCTACAGGAGCATTACTGGCACTGTTTATAAAACAACAGAATGTGAACATTACTACTTCACCTCAAAGACCAATTAATGCCAGACAAGAAGGCCCCACAGAGGTCTACTGACTCAGCATGTTTTGCTGAACACCCCTGCTTGAGTCTCCTGCATCAGTGTCTATAGGGGGACCTGCAGTGCCTGAGTGAGCCAGGGGGATAAGAAGGCTGAAAAATCAGGCTAAGAGACTATCTACAGAGGGTCTGCTTCACGCTTCACTAACCACTGACCAGATCTCTCTCTCTCTCTCTCACACACACACACACACACACACACACACTCTCTCTCTAACTCACTGAACAATCACCAAGCTGTTCTATTCTGTTAATAATACCCATAAACTGCTCTGCAAACAGAGAGCGGACAACCGGTGTTTTATTTCCCTCCTTGAAGTTTAAGCTGTACTGTTTTTGACAATTCCTCTGGTTCTTTTCAAATGTACTTTTCGTCCTCAAATGAAAATCTTGTGTGCTGTGAGCGCCTACGAAACAATGTCCAAGTGGATCTGAATAAAAATGAAAATAATGTAAGCGGAGCTGTCCTAAGAGAGATGAAAGGATGTGATGAGAAACTCTGAATAGTTGAGGCCTACGAAGAAAGAACAGTTGGATTTTAAAATGCCTGACTTCTAACTAGTTGTTGAACACATCAAGAAGAGTCAATAAAATCAAGAAAGGCATATTCAGCAAAAAAAAAACTACTGTGGGCTTTCAGATGTGCTTTATATGTCAAAGGGGCAATGAAAGGCTAAAAAGTGTCTTCTGCTGCTGCTTGTGCTTGTACTGTATGTCAGCTACACATTTCACATGATGAATCAATTATGGAGTCAATAACGGCACTTCATGTTATCTTCTAAAGACAAGCCAGGGAATATGTCCTTGAGGACTTACAACTTTACTAATCATCTGTCAATCAGTGTCACATATTTGAGCCCAACACAAAACTCCACACGTGAGTTCAATACAACATTTTTCCTATAACATTAGATCCGAGTTTCCAAGAATAGCTACAACAGGCTAGTGCTCTTCAATCAATGTAATCCACAATCATATTCAATTGCTATAAATGTATGTAAGTACATGTCAGGCTATCTGGTCCTAACTTTGTCCCCACACTCCACCTTGGCTCTGGGCTTCAAATGCGGAAAATTGTGTGTACTGGATCATTCAATCACAGTTACAAACCAAAATGGCTCGCTGGCTACCTAAAATCTGTGCAGATATGTCTGAGCACATGTCTAGGCTATAGGGTTAGTTTACAACTTGGAGTGAGACGGTATCAAAGATGGGACAGGGGATTTATGAGTCACAATCTCCTATAGCTGAGCTTCAAACACGGTGTGGAAGTAATTATGGCCCTTAAGCTCCCATGACATGGATATCTCCTGGCTCTGCAGCGCTCTGTCAAAGGATCATACTTTAATCTGTTTGTAAAGACACTAGGTATGACACAGGCGCCTCAGGAATGTAACCTGTCATTAATATCAATTACAGATGGATTCAATGACCAATGATCAGGGGAATTCAGGAACTCAGGCTGTGTGTGAATATAGTACTATTCTCTTTCCAAATGGTAGGGCTTAAAGCAGAAACACTGAAAGCACACAGTTTTGCTTATTAGCTGAAGTTAGTGCCGTGGTATTACTTTGACAACTTATAAAACTCAGAAAATAGTTGGAAACTGTTGTTGACGGATCTTATGCAGTAAACGGTGGTTGAAAACAAAAATAAAATGGAACAAGTAAAGGTGAAATGCCTCATCAGACCTTTTATTAGCTCAATAATCATCAAATCAACAGCCGAGCAGTGGGGGATGTAATCTTGGGCACATCAGCACCATAAAAAGCCAGCGAGCAGAACTGCCCTATTTTTACAAAATAATTGGCTAACCACCTTCACCCCCAGCCCCCTCAGACAACACTGTGTGGGTTTAATGACACACATCCATACCAGCCTGTGCCAGCTGGCACAACACGAGACCTGGCAGGCTCGGGCTTTGACGAGAGAAGAAGTGGACCACTTTAACCTCACAGCTCTCAATAGCCTCCTATAAGCTCCTAACAATTTCAGATGGAGCTGGGAAAGGACAGCACTCTCAACATCCAATAGAAACACCAGGCCAGAGAGCAGCTTATGAATTCCAAGTTAGACAAATAAATCCATACATGTTTGCGGTCCAGCCGACCAGGAACTCTTATGCCAACCTTTGGTTTGTGATCATCTAAAGTGGGCGGCATATGAATGACATATCAACATACTCCACAGTACATGAAAAAAAACAAAAACATATGGAGTCAATAAAGTAACTGGGCGAAGAACGGGTATGAAACAGAAATGAAACAATTTTAAATCTCTCTTCTTCAGCCAGGTCTAGGAGCTATGTCAAGACAAAGCCTCATTTAACTATATTATACAAGGAAACAATACAGCTAAATTAGAAGGTGAGAGTTGTGTGGTAGTGGGTGTACAATTGTAGTTTGGCTGCTTCTAATGAGGGCACTGAGGTAACATTCAATACAGATGAGGGTGATTACTCATGAGACGTGTCTACACCTCATAAGTGGTTTAGCTGACATCACTACTGCCACTCTGCCAGGGAGGCCAGGTATTTTAAGGGACATGAATGGATGAATGCCATGGAAACTCTGAGACATGTAGTCTGTAACAAAAAAGGGCGCTAATACCACTACAGAACTGATAAAATATTTGAAGGACTTTCATACTATACAACTAAGATCATATTATAATTAAAATATCATATTCTAGCAACACGTTCCATTAACTTATCAGCTAACAAAATGGCATGTCCTGAGCCAATGAGATTGTTGGAATATTATGTGACTGACTCATAGCGGAATTAGTGAAGCTAATAACACTGATATTCATTATTTTTTCTCCTCAACAATCTCAAAGTGCTGAAAGACTTCTGAAACTGAGAGTCCCTCAAGTGGGCTAAAGCCTGTCCCCTCAGCTCTTCGACTGACCCAACCACCTTCTGAGAAGCTCTTGAGCAGGAGAGCTCAATCAGCTGAGGCCCGGAAAAGGGATTATTTCACTAATTCATCCCGGAATAAAATTGGTATCATTATGATTCAAATCACTATAATAGAATCACATTAGGCAAAGGAATATAGCAAGCAGGATACTGATACGTATCCCCATGGCCAAGGACTTAAATAGTGTATCTTTTCCCTGTTATCTTGCCAAAGTTTTTATGTGTCTGTCTCTCGAAAAACAGTAATCACATTGTACTGATTATGTCTGACTGCTAAAGCAGATAAAGCTAATATTTCAGATGTTTTGAAAAGATTTTTGTAATAAAAACCTTTAAAGTTAGTTACTCTTGAATGTTTCGTAAGAGCTAATTTGACCACAACACATGAACAATCTATTCCTGGACAATCAGAGCCTGGCAAGCAGCACACATTATCAACCTGCTAGGCAGTGCCAGTTGTTATTTCAATCTGAACTGCTCTGGCACAAGACCCAGCTGCACCTTTTGAAGTGCAGAGAAAATATGACCACCTTTTTATAGAGGTATCTAAATGTATTTCAGTTTTTAACTTTAGTGCAGAGTGTTTTTCATTTCAGCACGTTCTGTATGTGCAATTGTTTGCTTGTGAAGTGTGGTGATAGTGAAGGAAAAGCTAAGCGCGAGACGGAGGCAATTGTGATCTTACCCTCCTTCCTCCTGAAATCCCTCCAGTTCATCTTTCTGCTCTGCCAGGGTAGACTCCAAGTCCAGGTAGCTTCCATTATGGGACAGCTGAAGGGAACAGTCATCAGGCTAGATGGGGAAAAAGACACAGTGAAACACTGATTTGTCTTCTACTTCCTAAAGATCAGGATATTTCCACTTTACGCAAATAAAGAATGCTAAACATCAATAAAGTAGGAGGTGTTAATGGTTGACTGATGCAGGAATCCAAAGGCCTGTGGTAACAAATACTGCTCCAAACTGATCTGAGCAGAACCCACGCAAAAAAACAGGCTGAGTTGGAGAGTGCTGTGTTACAACCATGACCATCTATGATCAATCCTTTCAAAACCTGTGAAAATCTATCTAGGAATTAAATTTAAAAAAAAAGGCTTTTTTTTAATTAAATTGCTGCTTCTGTGAAGCATGTGTTACAAGCAAAATAAAAGTTCATAACAATGTGCATATTAATCACTATGTGGTAAGACTTTTATTCTTTAAAGGTTCAATGTGTACGTTTTAGTGGCATCTAGTGGTGAGGGTTGCGAATTGCAACCAGCAGCTCACGGTGCATTCACGTGCTCCTTGGATGGTCCCATTTCCCGAGTTGTGTAGTCGTTCTTCCGACTTCAGTATGTACATGCACTCTTAAGTCAGAATGTGAAATCAACATAGACGCTAATACAAAGATTTGTTTGATTACTGATTGAGCATTATCAGAGCATAAACAACATTTAGACATTTAGTTCACTCTACATGGAAACTAACCATTATAATCATATTACAAATTACATGTTCGCAAAATATGTATATGCAACACATGATTTTGTACGAATCAAAGTTCTGCAGCTGGAGCCACTCCCAGCTGACATCAGGCGAAAGGCGGGGTACTCACTGGACAGGTCGCCAGTTCTTTAAGTCCCATGTACACTTCTCTTTTTGCAATAAAGATTTAAGGATTTCGACGCCACATGAATGCACCTTTAGTCACCGCTCACCCCTTCCTTTCCAAGCGCACAGGAGAAGCTACGGTGTCTGACACGCTCGTCAGCTCTTGTGCTAAATAATATCTGCGGCCTCTATTTGTCCAAATTTCTCTTCTTTTCTTACTTAATAAACCAGTTGTCCACTACTACTACTACTTCTACTACTATTAATGTTCAACTAGTTCTACTTATGGATGGACCAAATGTTCGGCCACTGAAATGAATCGTCCGAAAATAGCAAAAAAAAGCACTTTCGTGTTCAGGCTAATAAGTCAATTGACCCTTCGCTAAGCCCCACCCCCCTTAGTTACGGTTGCTAAGTCCGACAAACTGTCGGCGCTGCCACTGTCTATTACTGCATTCTCTGGAGAAATTGACAAATTTGTTGGAAAAAGCAATCACAGAAAGAAGCAGACAGTTTTACAGTTGTATTATACATTTGAAGGTTGTATTCAGGCTGTCAAACTGACTCAAACAGACGTGAAAATAATTAAAGATCACACAGTACAAGTGAACCACCGCATCCCCCAACGAATGAGACAAAAGACAACGATATGAATATCGATATGATATGGTAGGCCTCTATTCATTATTGCAATCATTAAAGCAGAACAGTAGGGCTTTATTACGTTACAGTCAGCTGGAAGTTAGCTAGTGTTAGCTAACTAACATTACATTAGGAACAATCCACAGCCGACATTTTTCTGGATTTATTTCAGGTTTTGGAAAGAGAATAAATTGTACTTCTCCTTTAAACTTCTCTGGGTAGCGACTGTAATAAGTGCCCCAGGAACAGCGTTTGACCATATCTTAGAAAAATATAGCCAAAAAAAGCTAGAAAACGACTCCTTTTGTGTCTGAGAAAGATGCAAAAATCAGACAGACACTGTTCTGCTGAATTGTCTCCTAGCACATCCACTCCATGGGTGACTGGAGTGAGAAGTGCACTCGTAATTCTTTATGGTAAATCCATTGAAACGGACTAGTGCAAGCTGACTGGCAGGTTAGCAACTTTAACCTGTCATTTTCTCTCTTTACAAAGACAAGTGTTGCAGTATGAGATTCCTACCTGAAGAGAGGCTATGAAGTCTTCAAGTTGCGTGATACCAAGAACCGATACAAGATTTGATGAATTTAGCTCAAGGATACATGTGACGATGTCCAGTTTTCTAAATAAGGTGTCTATACAGGGTGGAAATAAGATTAATTGGATTATATTCTCGGTGCCTGGTGTTCTGCAAATGTTTTCATTATATTTGGTTTCGAGTTCGGCCAAAAATTTTCATTTCGGTGCATCCCTAGTTCTTCTTCTCCTTATTTGTACATATTGAACGTAGAGACGAAACATGCTCTGTAGAGAAGTTTGTCCGTTTGGGCTCCTGTAGAAACATGGTTGCGCAACACGGCAACTTCCATGTAAGAGGACCCACGGTGTATATAGATAGAAATGGCTCATTCTAAGTTAATAAAAACATAACGGTTCATTATGTAAGGTCTTTCTATACCACTGAAAAAATAGTTATGAATATTATATTGCATTTCTGTCAGTAGATCCTCCTAAATATTACACACTGGACCTTTAATTCACAGCATCAGTTACAAGCACAATAATGCTCATGTTTGCTGTGTGAGGAAAATTGTATACAAAACATAGCATCTTTGTCCTTTTTATGGATCAATGGGCAAAGTGTATTTGAGGTTTATGTCTAGCCTGCTGTGAACCATGGACAGTTATTTTATCAGCTCCTGTCAGCACTCTACAATGACAAGCACGGCAAGGTTGGAGAGAAGTCATGCAGATTTGGAGCAGTTTGGCAGTCTGGTGCCTCTTATCTCTTTGCTCTCCCCGTCTGATAAACTATCATCACACAAGTTGATTTTGCAGAGGAGCTACGATTTGTCTGGTCGTGAATGGTTGTCAACAGCTAACTGTGTTCAAGGAGATGAGGAATGAGAGTGTCTGTTCGCTGGTCTGGTTGACCTCCAAATTGGAGATATTAACCTATTTATATTCAGAGCCTGTCATCTCCACAGGATAGCGGCTCCAACGGTGAAGCAGAGGACGGGAAAGCAAATATCATTACAGGAGGGCAAACATATGACTTAAGCGGAGAGAGTGGCACTGCTCTGCTCCATCAGCAGCCAGGGTGTCTAAAACAACAACAGACTATAGAGTGCACGAATATACTGACCTCACTACATTTGTCATCTCCTACCAGCCCACACTGAGGGTTTTGAGGTAGCAAAGACTATGACACACTTGCATAAAGCACATCCCAAATAAGCAGCCTGCAAGATTTTTGTTTCTCTTAAAAGAAGAGCCACGCATGTAAACATATATGTAACATCTAAAACCATGTGTTTTTTAAATTAGACCGGTTATTGCCAGGTCTGATACAGTTCAATTTCCTCCCACATATGACAATAACTTAACTGAACGTAAAGGAAAAAGGCTGGGAAAGACATTATGGGTCTGATTTGGCTTTGATCTGGCTTTGATCTGTTAGGCCACTTTGTTTGTATTACTTCACTACAACACTCAGGGACTGTGTCATATTTGAGAACTGAAACAAAACATGTGGTTGGTTAGGATAACTTTCTCTGACTCTGTTTGCTTTCCATGCATAGTAAACCAAATGATTATTGGTAATATAGTAGCTGTAGAGAATATAAGGCTGGACATGTTCTTTTTGAGACGATACCAGAGATGAGGCAAAGCACAGGGCCGGTGCAGTAAACATACACCGAAAACTTAAGTCGCTCAGAAAAACCTATTGTTTCTACGACAGTGACAAGATTGTTGTTGATGTTCTTACAGTAAGGCAGACTGAGAGATAGACAGAGACAGAGATAGAGATAGAGAGGAAGAGAGGTAGGTAGACGGAGAAGAAGACAAACAAACAAAGCTACACAGTACACAGGCAGAGGAGCGAAGCAAGTGCTTCTCCAGATTACAGGACAGATTCTGGACTGACTGGAAATTCAGACATAGGGGCCAAAGTTAGGCCCACTATTTATATGCCTATGGACTGACATGCCTTTAAAAATAATGGCGGTATGACGGTAATATGAAATGTAGCGTGAAGCTGAAGACACACTAAATCACATATGCTGACCAGTGGCTGGGCCCTACATAACCTGTGAGACAGTGAACCAAACCAAGGAAAACTTCAATGTCTGCTTTTTCCCACCAGGAGTCTCCCTAATGTCTAAGACACAAAATATGCACAAATATACATAAAAATAAATAATACACAAAATATAATATAAAAGTGGTTGTCTACAATGTCCTAAATATTCATGGATTCATTGGTTTATTAATTCATTCATTATTCTGACGTGTATTTATTGGTGATATCTTTGGTAATTGATGTACTGAACCTGCAAGTGATTTCTCGTCAACTGAACCATCTGGAAACACTTTCATTTAAAGAAGTCTGAGTTTTCTAGTCACCATTCTTTAGTTTGTCACTTCACGGTGTTCTCCATCACTGCTTATTTTAACCATCCACTTCTCCTTCTACTGTTTATTCTATAAAATACTGTGGCTGCTTCGGCAGGCAGAAAAAATACCACTAACAATACAGAGAAAGAGATATTTTTTCAAGTCTAAATGCTTTCATCAAATGGGTACAAATTATGTCAATATACGAACCAAGTCTGATTCTAACAGTTCAGTGTATTATTTATTGTTCACTCTTTTTATATTTTATAGTTCTTTAAATTATACTTGAAGTACTGTTGAAGTCTGTGGATTGGATAAAAAGCCTGTTTGTTCTCTTTCAACTTTACACTCTGTATCACAACCTGAAATAGACAAAACATTGGGCTGAATTTGCAGCAGTAACCAGTAATTAGCTAACTGTGGTACCAAGAAATGCATTTCCCCACACAAGGTTTTAACTCGCAGACCAAAACCAAAAAGCAAAAAAGTCAAAGTGAACTATATACAATGCTGCCATTAATCAGACCCCATTTGTAAATTCTATTCTAAATGTATCCACACCATCCACCCTCCAACCAGTGTCACTTAGGGTTCCTATTATATAAGGAAACTGGATTACCGTTTACAGGTCTTGCCATGTACAACCATGCCAGGCTGATGCACATAAATGGCCCTTAATCCAGGAAGAGTGCTACCAGATTATCAGTAGCAGAGGCTTCCTTAGCTGTCCCCACCCAGGACTTGAACCCATGGTGGCCCTGTAATGGCCAAGTCCAGAGAAGTAACCACAAGTGCTCTGCTCACACACTGAGGTCTGGCCTCTCCCTTCAACCACCATACTGTGGTCCGCTGACCAGGGAGGCAGTTAAGGCAGAAAGGACTAAAAATAAACACCATGCAATTTTCAATTAAAAACTGCTATCTCACTCTCACTCCAACTGTCTTTGTATTGCGCAATGGAAAGACATCTGGAATGAGATAGCATATACAGTGTGTGCAAGTTACACATTTGAAACTCAATAGCCTAATAATAACAACACTGTCTTTTACATGTGCAAATGCTAATATTGTGTTAGCCACCCTTAACATTTTTGTGTGTAAACTGCACCATAGTAAATCAAACAAGAGGAATTATAGTAAGCCACTTTAAAGACTTAAAGTTTGTTTGATAAAGGTGAGGATGGTATTTGTGGTCTTTCTGAGAAGAGAAGTGATTTAAAACGCATTAAAACACACTTGATGCATGAAAGAGAAACCACAACAGTAATCTTAAATTTCTGTCAAGCATGTAAAGGATGAGTCTGTCCATGGATGCTGCATTCTACTGAAAGGAGCCCTCTGCTGAGAAAACCCTCCAAAGTGCAGAGACCGGCAAAACCTCAACTCTGCATAACAATGAGTGAAAGAATTCGAAGGAGCTCTGACAGGCATGAAGGAGGAACCTGTATTTTACAGCATTTAACATAACTTCTCATTATGGGACTCTGTAATTTCTTAGGGGGAAAAAACGCAGGAAAACAACCGGCCCAAAATTTGAAATTGGTAAAGTGAGAGTCCATCCTCCAAGACTTACCCACATTTTCCCTCCCTTGAATTCTGCTTTGCAATCTGATTCCAGGCCTCAAGGCCACAAACTACAAAACATTGACAGAGAATAAAGCATGCAGAGGACCACTGATCTATTGATTTGCGTTGACATTACCAGCAGATTTGCGATGACTCCAGCTAAATTTGAACAGCATGCCATGCACACTTCGTCATCTGACAAGGACAGTACATTATTCATGACAAAATAAAACAGCTGAGTCAGGTAATGACTAGTCATACTTTCTATTTACAGGAGCAACAGACAAGCTTGTTTATAGATAAAATGCTATAGGTATATATTTTATGGATGAATATTGTCTTTAACACAATGGTCTATATTATAAAGAAATGTTTTAAATCCCATTAAAGCCGTCAGAAGATTCAACAGAGCTACGGCAGCAAGACAGTAAGCCTACATTACTTGCTGAATTATTACTTGCTAATGATACATGGTGGCATGACATTTTCCAAAAGGCCATAGAGTGAAAAACTGACTTCAAAGTGCATTTGCTGACTTGACAAAGCTGTGGTTGATACACAACAAGCATTTACGGTTTGAATCCCCAGTGGTCCAAAATATAAACCCTGGCCTGGTCATAATTTTTTAAGCTTTTTGATGATCACAAATGGTTACTCCTATTTGATGTTTGACTTTGTACAGCAGCACAGTCAAGGTGCCATCCCATGCACAACTCAATCCAACGCACATGTATAAACAACCACACACACAGATCTCCTCTCTTGAGACTGCATACTGAAACTGACAGGAACAGTCCAGAGACAGCATATGCTAGCTTTTTTGACTCCCTCAGCACCATGTGTTAGCAGCAAGCTATTTATACCAGACTGACGTGCACCGTAGAGACAGAGCTCAAAGACAAAAGGTTTGTTGTCAGAGGTATATACAGGGTCACACCAATTTCACACATTACTGAGGGCGTGAATCATCACCTCATTGCTCCAATGTGGTGACACAGTCTTGTCATCCATCCGACTGTTATTTTTTATGAAAAGCACAAGGGCTGCTCCTTCGAGTTACTGCTAACCACCAATGCCCAGGTGACCAAATCTCTCTAACCAGGCACTGCAGAGCCTACCACCGGTACTCCCTGTCTGTCTAGTTTGCGGTCCAGCTGGCCTACTGCTAAACTGAGACCATTCGAAGTACATCAGCTCTTTGTTTGTGTTTTTAATTCTACCCACTTCCCTCTCCTCTCTCAAACAGTGGAAAGTGTTCCCATCCCATCCTGCTGGTCAGACCGAGTGGGCTGCAGAATGAGAGCCAGCTTTGTGGTGATCCACAGCATCCTGAGGCTTCGATGACTTATCTTACCAGCTCTACTCAAACAAGATGGAGTACCATTGATCTGACAGAATGAAGAAAGACCCCAATTTCTTTCTTTCTATTTATGCGACTTCCGAGACTGAGATAAATGCTCAATAAAAGAGCCAACCTCAGATGTTATGGCCTCACTGCTTTGTTAGATTAGTAGATGAGACCTTTATAAAAATTTGTTTGGATGCACATAGTGCAATTAGAAGGCAGAAACCGGGATTTCTCAAGACATATAGCCTTCATATGCTGCTAAAAGAAAAAAAGAAATCATAGAAAACTGGCTTCAGGTTTACATTATTTCACTGGCTTTCTTTGAAACTTAAACAGGGCAATTACACCATACCAAGAAGAACATTCATTTTGAGCAGCTTAAAACTGGCTGTGCAGTTGTGGATTTTGGGAAGGCCAGCTTCTGCAACCAAAACAATACTGTTTCACCTACTCAGTAGTTAGGAATAAATGAAGACAGACGTGATGCAGCTGACCAAACACAACAATGTAGAGAGGTACAGCAAAACGCATTCTGATTTTTTTTTAAATAACACCTATAGGGCCAATAGGGTAAGATTTCACTCAAACTACAGTTATGTTTAGATAAACATGGATTTAGAAGTTGTGTTGAGATCAGAATTCCAGTCCCCAGATCTAGGACAATCCGGGTGGGGAATTACCCTCTTCCATCCTTCAATAACTGACCCACTGGGCGTTTGACCCCACCTACTGAAATTGGGGCGGTGTAGTGACAATAGCAGAAATTGTTCCCTACATGGATTTTAAATCTGCCCATTCATGATACCACAAAGTAGAATCCTTTTCTAAGAAAGATTTGTCAAGCTCCTTCATAGTTGATACATGAAGAACCCAACTTAAAGTTGAGGGAAGCCAAACACTCAATATTTAGATAATGAGTATATACACTTTGCACTTGTCTGTTTCCTTAATTGTTTCTCTTTTCTTACACAAATTAACTGGCACAAATATTTAGAAAAATATCCCTTAGTCCAGATAATATATAGAAGGAAAAGCAGGTTAAACTGAGGGGGGAGTGGGGGGGGTTACTGTTGTGGTTGAGGTAAACATTAACAGATGCCTGCCTCCTCTCAGCCAAATAATGGCTCTCTAACTCCACTCCAAAATCACCTAAAGACACCAAATATTCCTTAATGTCATATTAAAAGCCTAGTTACATACTGACACCTTGCATGCTATAACTGTTTATGCTCCAATAGCATCACCCATCAGCAAACTGCAGCAAGTCACTGCAACGGTCTATTAAGTTTGTTTGGTAGTAACCCCATCAACATGTTCAAGCTAATTATTAATTTAGAATGTCAAAGGTGTTAACTTTTCACTAAGCTCAAAAGAAACATGGAACAATAACATAACCAAGAGATTTAAAAAAAAAAAAAAAAAAAGTATATTACATACCTTCTGTGGGGCTTTAAGCAGCCTGTGGACTCCAGCAATCTGATTTATCAGTGGAATATCTTCCCTGAAAGTGTACAGAGGTGGTCTGGTGGGCTCGGGGAAATTGGTGCTGTTAAATGGATCAGTATCATCTAGGAACTGCACCCTGCATATAAACGTAGCCATGATGTATCCATGCAAAGCGATTTTAGATCATGAAAATAGTGGATGCGACAGCACAGCCTCTGACAGCAGCCAACTACCGGCAGGTCTTCTGCAGTAGCAAAATCCTGCACCCTCTGTTATCCTTGGACCCTCTCCATTCGCATCACGCAGCGCAGAGGACTCAGGGCAGCGTACACAACAGTCCAGAAGTAAAAATCCAGGGTATGTCGTTGAGGGGTACGGTTAGTCAGAGCGATGTGGAAATGAGCGGGTCGGCAGTATCCAAGGGCATTGCGGCCGTATGAGGTGCTGAGGCAGACTGCGGACGGGACTGCCACACTTGGCGCCTGGTCTGTAGCGGCTCCCTCCTCAAACATTAAACTCTGCCAGGGGACACAGCAGCCAGACCTCAGCCGGCCGACACAGCTCATATTACAGGCGCAATGGTGGCCTCCAGTGGTGAATATGAACTACACTAAACGTCCTGCAGTGACTCAAGCCACTCAAAAGCAACGCAATCAGTGTTGTTAAAAACTCAAACATGTTGTAGCTAGACAGTCAGGAAAATAACAGATAGACCGACGGATATATGGATGGCGTAACCGCCCACGATTTAGCATTCATAAGCAGTATATAAACAATTAATAATTGGCTAACAACAGAAAACACACCATAGTGTAGTTGGAAGCAGATTTAAGGATATTTGGGATAAGAGTGATTTGCATTTTCAGATGCTATTTAACATGATAGTACCAGAGATTCTGTCACTGTACTATCAGAAAAGTAAGTAGAGAGCTGATACCCAGCCGTAACTTTCATACTGTGACACTTAATGTAAAGTAGAACATTTTTATTTTCGCTGACCTTTCAAGGTGTTATCATTCAATACAATCCTTTTTTTCTTCAGTAAACCTCAGATGAACAGTAACATCTGTGGATTGACCTTTCCCTATCAGATAAGGCACTAGTTAACTGTCATGCATGTTCTTGCTCAGCTTAGCCTTCAAACACTGCACACCTCTAGCTAATGCTCTCTGACACCACAGCCTAGTCAAGCTATTACAGAAGTTCAGTACATGCTGTAGGATCTCACAGTGTGAGCCACAATTTACATTCCAGCACCGTACAGTGCACTATTGTATCAATACAATACTATAGTGTTTGACAGATCATGAAGTTAAAACTCCTCAATCCCAGCCTGGAGGACAGGATACTGTTCTATCAGCAGCTGGACAAACTGGAGGAGGATGAGACTGGAGACAGACCAAAATGTGACAACAAGGCCTGTGTGGGGTTTTGTGTTGGACTCAGAAACGTCTGGCGGTTCCCCTATCTGTGTCAGAGTCATGGAGGAGATAAGTGATGCTTTCATGGTTTACTGCATGTAATCCTGCATGTACACTGCATGTACCATGCACATATTCCATATTTGACCATTTTCAATGGCACTGTTTGAGCAGAATAAAACTAATTCATATCTCACCAATCCAGAACTACTGGAAGAGCAGCCCCATAGGTCTATATAATCATTTCATTTGGTTTCAAAATTATAAGCTCGCCAAAGTATTTGGCTGCTTGCTGCTGTCACCAGGAATGCCAATTGTATATATTGCCAATACATCCTTATTTGACAGGCATTGGTCAGAAATGTTTTGCATAATGTTTGCTAGAATTAGTAAAAAAGAAACCCTTTTAAAACATTGATTGGCAGGTATTGCATCTATGTATCTGTGACGATCAGCCTCTACTAAAGCACCATCATTGCCTGGATTCTGTGGTAATTCATTTCAAGAGCCTCAGCCTCAGAGTCAATGTCCCAACAGTGCTACAACTGGTACTGTACTTCTGTAGAATGGGAAATGAAAATTTGAAACTCTTTACTTTGGTTTCATGACACACGCTGTTGTCTCAGAGTGAGAGGAGCTCTCCACTAGATAATTTCTGGTACAGGGAGACCCTGAACACAACTCCAGTGACTGAGGAGGATGGCGCCCTGCAGTGGTGGATAATGTTATGTCATGTTAGTACATGGACTGTTACAGCACTTTGTACGTTGCTTATTATAGTAATAAAGAAGATTTAAATTCAGCTAAACAATAAATACTTGAATTCTTTATTTTCTTGAGGTTGTGTATTTGACTTCCCTATGTGGTCCTGACTTATTTCTGATGAGAGGATTGACCCTAAAGGGCTCAGTGAATGGAGTAAAGTCTCTCTTCACACCAGATATAAGTTGAAAATTTACAATAAAATATAATAACGTTTTTAGCTGTTTGGGGCACTCAACATTTACCCTCGTCTATGGGATCTTTTACCATGTCTGGCTATTTTAGTCCTCCGAATAGCCCTCATTAGAGGTAGCATATAGCAATAACCAGTTGATCCATATTTGTCTACCTTCCTAATTCTTCCAGTTAATAGAACTAGCTAAGCTAAAGATTTCTGTTTATTCTCTGGCTTTTGCTACAACTCAGTGCAGTAAGTTGTTGTTTGAACCTGCCCCATTTGAAGTTACAGGAAATTGCACTGTACTGTAAATAAAATTAATATTGAATTTTTTTTTTAGTAACAACTGTAAACAGGATACAGTGATCATTTCGGTCATCAATAGTATCACCATCTATGCCGCAACTTTACACTATTGGCTTCAGAACAACAGAAAGATTTGACAGCTCATTCTGGGTTAGCAGTTCATATATTCTTGTTGTACAGCAATACATCAGCTTTGAAAACCTTTAAGCCTAACAAATTTTAGGTTTTAGAAACATCATAGCATTGCTAAATGTGTTTGTTTGTTGTTTATTCACTAAGGCCATCACCAAGATGCCCCTCTCAACGGTGTGGGCCGTCCGTTTCTTCTTAATGCTCTTCTGTCTTGGCCTGCCATCTGCATTATATGGACAAAAGCTCTGGGGCACCCCTGTCCCAATACCTTTGTCAGTGGCTGTTTTTTCATAGTGTGGTCTTTCATAAGGGACTGTTTGTGTTTGGCCTTTTCCTCTTTCAATATGACAATGCCCCTGTGTACAAAGCCAGCTCCATAAAGAAATGGTTTTCCTAGTTTGGTGTGGAAGGGACTTGACTTGCACGCTGTGAGCCCTGACCTCAACCCTATCCAACACCTTAGGGATGAACTAGAATGGAGATTGCAAGCCAGACCTCACAAATGCTCTTCTGGGTGAACCGGCAAAAATTCCCACAGACTAACTCAAAAATCTTGTAGAAAGCCTTCCTAGAAGAGTGGAAGAAAAGTTATAGCTGCAAAGGGGGGACCAACTCCAAGTAGGAAGCTAACTTTGAGCCATGTAATGAAGGTACACCTGTCAGTCCAGCTGGGGTCACTATTGTGATGTGTTAACAGTGTGGTGTGTTTGAGAAGTGAATTAAATACTGATTCAATCTGCTGCATTTTGTTATTTTGAATCCCTACATTTCTGCATTTGCCTGTAATTTGTAAAGTGAATCACACTGTGCTTTATGACTCTACTTTGTGTTTTCAATTCCGATTTCCAGTTAAGAATAATGAATGTGACTGAGTATTCTGTATGAATATAATATAGAATAGAAATCCAATGCAAGGCATTTTAAATTGTATTTTTTGGAGACTAAGTTTGATAAAGAATTCCATGCACACAACATGTCTTTTCCCAGTGTAAGTGGTGTTTGGTAATTACTGCTGACTGAAATAACTCAGACTGTGTGCAAATAACAGTAATGTAAACTGTATCACGTAACAAATTTAAAAGGCATGTGTACTACCACAGTTTTTCTCCCTGGGTTCATTTTTTATGCTGTTTTGTATTACAATCAGCCCTTATCGCTTCTGTTATTAACATCATATCACGCCGCTTTACACTGGCTTTTTATTAAACAAACATACCAAACTGTTTTCACAGCTTCGACAGGCTGATAAAGCAAATGTTGCCCCGTCTTCTCCTGATAACAGGTCAGTCAGCAGGGTCTCCCCTTCTCTTCAGACAAAGTAGCAGACAAGTCAGACAAAAAAGTTGTGCTTGTCTCATAAAACATACCAAACTGACAAAAGGACAAACAAGTGATGGATAGAGAAGCTGAAAGTGCTGAGCAGACGCAGGTTCATGGACCTAAAGAGATTGCTGAAAGACCAAAATGGGACAATAAAGTTCAATACTTGCTAACCTGCATAGGGTTTGCTGTGGGACTTGGGAATGTGTGGAGATTTCCATATCTGTGTCAAATCTATGGTGGAGGTAAGAGCATTTACGGTGTGCTTTAAATGTTAAGCAAAAGTGGCAAAAAATCTGGCTTTTCATTTGTTTTTCCATGACAAGAAACATTTTGCAGCAAATTTTCCAAAGTCTCTCACTACAAAATGTGAAACTGTTTGTATCAATACTGTAATAAAAAAAAAAAAACATAAATCATAGAGAGGGCAAAAACTGAATGTCATATTTAAACAACACTTCCTCTGATACTTTAACTTTTTATGTGACTGTCAAAACATCTTAATCACTGAATTATCTTCTTTTTTTTTGCTGTCTGTCCTTTGCTTTTTGATCTATTACCTGACTTGAATCATTTCAATGTGCATGTTTGTTTTTCCATTGAAAGTCAATCTAGAAACTGACCAATATGTTACTTGGATCTCATCAATGATTTAGGGAGCGATAATACTTCACTGGTTATGTGACTGAGCACGTTTATTTCTTGTAAAATGTCAGTGCTTATATTTTATTCACAGCTGTGACTGATCTGAGATAATTCCTATTTGGATAGTTCTGTTATACAAAATGGACACTTTATTAATCCATTAAACAAACAGCACAAAATATTTTTACTGCTACATACAGCAGTGCCCAAAATATAAAGTGGACTAGTCAAATGATGAAAACAAGACATACTGCTTGGTATGAGTGAGTGTGATAACGCTGATTGTTGATAATAAAATGTCCAGTAATAGAGAACTGAATGACCTTCAACCATAAAGGCAATGCTAATGCCTACTGAAAAAGTCATGTTTATTTTTGTCATTTATGACCATGTCATCGCTTATAAATGTGCTTTATTTCAAGGGGCATTTCTGATTCCTTATGTCATTGCCTTGGTGTTTGAGGGACTTCCCCTGCTGCACATGGAACTGGCCATCGGACAAAGGCTCCGCATGGGAAGTGTTGGAGTGTGGAATTCAATTTCCCCATATCTGGGAGGTTTAGGTGAGAGGGTTTGGTTTCACTGAACTAGTGTGTTGCTAACAAAAAAGCAAGATGCCAAAAAAATTTTAATTTACTGTCCAACATTAAGTTATGCAAAACGTCTATATTACCTTGAGGTCACTGCCATCCATAACACACATACATTTCTTGGTGAATAATGTGTATACACAGGTGTGGCGTCCATGGTAGTATCCTTCCTCGTTGGTCTCTTCTACAACATGATCTTGGCCTGGATCCTCTGGTACTTCTTCCACTCTTTTCAAAGTCCGCTTCCCTGGAGGGACTGCCCATTAAACTTGAATCATACTGGTAATTTATATATCATAATAATATAAATGAACAATAAATGTTGAATAATAACCAAAGTAATAGACAGTTAAGTCCCATGAATTACTCAATAATCTCTTTGATACAGGCTATGTAAGTGAATGTGAAAAGAGCTCACCTGTGAACTATTTTTGGTATCGTGAGACACTGAACATAACACCAAACATCGAAACCAGTGGGTCTTTACAGTGGTGGCTTGTGCTGTGCCTTGCGACTGCTTGGTGCCTGGTGTACATCTGCTTCATACGTGGAATTGAGACTATTGGAAAGGTAATTTACCTGTTTGATGCTATCAATGATATAATAGTATCCATATGAACTGGATCTTCATTTTTGTACTATGCAAGTAGAAATACATTGACGTTTATTGTGAATATAAAATATTTGATCAGCAATCAAAACTTTTTCAACAGGCTGCATATGTCACAGCCACCTTTCCGTATCTTGTTTTGACCATCTTCTTGGTCAGAGCCTTGACTCTGTCTGGGGCCACAGATGGCTTAATATATCTCTTCACGCCAAATGTAAGTTTGTCATTAGGTTAAAATCATTTCATGGAAAGATTTAATGAATAAAACCTGGTATCTAACTAACTATTAATATGTTCATCACAGTGGGAAACCCTGAAGAACCCTGAGGTATGGTTGGATGCTGCTACTCAGATCTTTTTCTCTTTGTCTTTGGCCTTTGGGGGGCTTATTGCTTTTTCAAGTTACAATCCTCAGAAGTAAGTATTTTCAACACATTTTCATTCATGTCAGACATATTGCACAAAATGTTTATTTTTATTAATTATAAAATAAGTATAATAAGTATTTTATCTTGGCAGGAATAATTGTGAGAGAGATGCCCTAATTGTTGGATGTGTGAACAGTCTTACGTCAATATATGCATCAATTCCTATTTTTGCCATTCTTGGATTTAAAGCAAATGAAAATTACAATGGTTGCATAAACTGGTATGTACCACTTATTAATTATACAGTACTATTATTAGATGTGCAAATGATTATGCAATTACAATCTGTCAGACACCGAGGACTAAACTTATGATTGATAAATTTTATTGATAAAGGGACTTCCAGCCATTAATATCATCATTATTAGAAGATACCCTTACAATAGTGCTAAATACGGATTTAATTTATTTTTTGTTTTTAGGAACATACTGACACTGACAAATGCATTTAACATTGGGGATGAAAACATAACTCTTGAAAACTACGATGACTGGTTCAACTATCTCAACGCAACTGATCCCTCAGAGGTTGAAAGCCTCAATCTAAAGACCTGTAATCTACAGACTTTCCTGGACCAGGTGGTACATCTGTTACTATAAAAACTGTTTTGATTTTAATTTAATTAAGTTTTGCGAGGTGGCTTTATATGAGATCATTTATCATATCCTACCTGTAGAGCGCCTCTGGAACCGGACTGGCCTTCATTGTGTTTACTGAGGCTGTGATAAACATGCCAGGCTCTCAGGTGTGGGCGGTGCTGTTCTTTGTCATGCTCTTCAGCCTTGGCTTGTCCTCCATGTTTGGAAATCTAGAGGCGATCCTTACTCCCCTGCTGGACCTGCACATGGTTCCACCCTGGCTTCCTAAGGAAATATTCACAGGTAAACTGAAAGATCTGACAATGTCATATGGTGTTTGTAATCATGGTATTGAGGGGACTGACAACACTGTATCGAGTACTTTCTATACATAACAGTAATTATGACACACTTACACAAAAGTCATATGTAAAAAGAGTGGAAGTAATTGAGGTAAATGCATATTTTGGATAGATTAATTTATATTTAACACAAACCCCGTAAGTTCCTATTTTCCTGTGTAAATTTTTTATGTATTCAAGCTGAAAATACAAATAAATTGTTTATATATATCAAACCCATGTACACATGTTCTCTGCTATGTCTAGGATGCTAAACTACTTTTTCACCGGTAGACTGTCTAAAGGTTTCTGTATTAGTTAATTTAGTATATTATTCATCATGGCATGAAACAAAATCAGAAAATGTATATTTCCAATATTTTCCCTTTGTGCATAAAGGGTTAATGTGCCTCATCTCCTTTACTGTGGCCCTCATCTTTACTTTGGGCTCCGGAAACTACTGGCTGGAAATTTTCAACAGCTTCGTGGGATCCATGCCTCTGCTTATCATAGCATTCTTTGAGATCATCAGTGTGGTATACATCTATGGAATAAACAGGTCATTTTGTCTTTCAAGTCGTCATTATGCTTGTAATATTACAACATATTGGAATGAGTTGACAAAGTGTTTCCGTTTGTTCACAGGTTTAATGATGACATTGAATGGATGACAGGTCGGAGACCAAACATCTACTGGCAGGCCACTTGGCGCTTCATCAGTCCTTTAATGCTGCTGGTGGTTTTTGTGGCATATGTTGCAGTTGAGGCAGACAAACGGCCAACATACAACGCCTGGAACCCAGATTACGTAAGAAAAAGGATTTTACAGCTGCTCCACAACATCATTGTGTAGAATTTCTTAAAACTGGTACACAATGAAAAAAAAGACATTGACTTTTCACCCTATTTGCCTTACAGGTGCACTTCCCCCTTGCTGATGTTCAGCAGTATCCTGAATGGGTTTTTGGTATCTGTGTGCTCTTATCTGTCATTCCTGTTGTCTCCATCCCTCTTGTGGCTCTCTACAAATTCATGGGCTTCCTGGAGAAGTACATTATGAACAGGCACAACCAAAACCCATATGCAAATGAATTATTTCAGGGAGAATTGTAATAGAAATTTTTTAGCTGTTTTATGTGGTCTACCATGGTAAATGTCAGATATTGTCAAATTTAATAAATTTGTGTATATTCATTTGGAAACAAAAAGCAAAATGTTCGACTGATAATTTTCATATTGTTTTCAATCTTTAGTACAGTACGGTATTGCGAGCTTCCAATTACATTACAGTTTAAATGACAGTATATTTGCTGCATTAAAGCATTTATTTACACAAGTGTATTTATATTTGAGAGGGGATTGCAAACACTGTCATCCAGATTGATTTGATGCAGGACAATATCCTTAAGAAGAATATTAACAACAGAATTCCAAAAGCAAGAACTGAATATCAGGCTTCTGTTAATATAAAAAGGAAGACAACAATTCATTTCCTGTGTTGATGTTTTCAATGGGAACAAATGGAGAGTGATGGATCACTTTTCTGAATGGTATTGTGATAAGCTCATTATTCATTCTCAAAACAGATATCACTATAATTTTCAGAACTAATTTGTACAAGCAATGCCAGATGAGCTGATTTTTGTAGTAATGTTGTGTTTGTATGTTCTGTTCACATCATCATCATCATAATTATCATGTCTTATGCATCATCTTCTGTCTGCCTAGAGAACAGCTTTTGTTATGTGTTATAATCTAGTTATCTGCTTCCTACCCTTGGTTACCTGCAAGTGTGAAGACTGATGTAGTGTTGCATGATGTGTCCTTTATGTAACATTTTTGCATGTCAACAGTACATGTGGGTGTATGCCAGAAGTGGGACTGTGCCTGTGTGCATGAGGGTGCATGCATGTGGTCACTGACCATGCGCATGTGCGTGCATGTGTGTATTTTGAGTCATACGAGTTACACAGTTGTCCTTTTTGTGGTGTGGGTGGACAGTGATATTGTCCTCCCAGTGTCACGTGCTTTGGAATATGCTGGCTGCCTTTGTTGTCCCTCTGCCTGTTCTGCTTTTCTGGCACTTTCATACAATAGTGCACTTGAACACTGTGATGTTATTAAGCCTGTCAAACTACTACAGCTTGAATTCCAGCTCTCAGGAAAGACTAGCATCCCAATGTAGGATACATGGCACAAGATACATCATCGAGGAACAACAGCAGGGATTGAGTATAACAACAGAACGAAGGTGATGGTTGACCCTGCATTGACTTATGCTTGCTTATTTTCAGTTTCACTGCAGTTACAGAACTATGCAAGGAGTCATGCTAATGCTATTTTCAGTATTTCCATATCTAAATAACTGACACAATTTTCTGCTTTAATTTGACTTAATGGCCCATGGTAGGCATTATTTAAGTGTCTTGCATTTTTGACTTAAAAAAATTAAATAAATCAGACTGATGTGAAGGAAATTAGATGTGTACTACTTAATAATAATTCCGTGTTGCAAACACGTGAAGAGGTTACAGCGGTTTGCTGAGTTCAAAAGGACATGGCTTTCCAACTTTTGTTTGCTGCTGGCTGGGAAAATAAAAATGTGTATTTTATTATTGTTATTTCAATTTAGCCAAGTGTTGATTTTTGGTGCCATCTAAAGAATTGCTTCTTAGTATATTCATAAGTAAATAACCAGTAAATATATAAGTGGTCTAAATATTCTTGTAACCATCAGACAAAGTAACCTAAGTGATGCTGCTGTGACCTACAGTAATGAAACACTGTACTATCAACAATGGGACAAGTTCAACAGTTTTTTGACCTACGATCCTACACTAGGCAATGTCTCAACGAGCAGATGCCTCCCAGTGCGGTGGGGTTGTGGTCGAGTTTGAGTCTGACGACATCAGGGATGCGAGAGCTAAAAAAGCTAGGAGTATACCAGGTGAACTCAACCTTAAATCCAACTAGAATTCGTGTAATGTGTTTGTAGCATTTATAATGTGTGCTTATTCGATTTTCATGCATTTCCTCGTAAGGTTCAGCTCTTATCTACCTCAAGGGTCCCAAGTTTCTCATCTATGTCAGTGGAGCATTGTCAATGTGGGTAAGAATAATTTCCTGAAGAAAAAGATTCCTGGAGAAATAGATATGACATCGAAACTTAAAATGACCGCAAGGTAGTCTACATACTGTAAACTGTGTGACAGCATAGAGCCAGCAGCTTGCAAGGCAACACATAATGATGACCTTCAATGTTGTGTTAAACAGGGTGACCGCATGTGGCACTTTGCAATCTCTGTGTTCCTGATCGAGCTGTACGGCCATAACCTGCTGCTGACTGCGGTGTTTGGCTTAGTAGTGGCTGGGTCAGTGCTCCTACTTGGGGCTTTGATTGGAGACTGGGTTGATCGCAATCCCAGGAATAAAGGTATGCACAACAATTTCACACCCATTTGACAATTTTAACATGCAATATATCTTAAAGTAGTGATATAGATCAGTGGATCTCAATCTTGGGCCCAGAAGTCTGCTGGTTTCCTATCCCACCAGGTGGTAAATTGCATTCCCCTGATGTCTCAAGTGTAAATCAATCCCTGATTTGATAGCTAGATGCAACGACAGCACGACTCAAGGTTCACAGCCACTGACTCATATCTATAAAGGCATACATTTTTAACAGAATACATTTTCTATGTTCTGAGAGTCTAACAATGTTGTTTGTCCCCTATTTTAGTTGCACATGCATCTCTTTTCATTCAGAACATCTCAGTGACAGTATGTAGCATTGTGCTCATGTTGGTGTTCTTATATAAGCAAAGGATTGAACAGATCTGGGATGGATGGCTTACTGTGAGTAGACACTACGTATTTGATTAATAATTATTATTATAATGACTGATACCATGTTGATCTGCAAACAGCATACTCACCATGATTATTACACAGAGGAGTTATTGCTGCTGTTTTTCCTCTTTGTCCTGTGTCCCTGTTGTCTCTGCTTCTGAGCTTGTGGCTTACTCTGTACTGTCATAGTAACATGTTGCATCGCAAAACTTACACAAGGTGGTTTGTTATACGGTGGTGATCGTCCTGGCAGATGTGGCAAACCTTGCAAGCACAGCACTGACCATTGCCATTCAGAGGGACTGGATCGTGGTTATCACAGGCTACAACCGAGGTCACCTAGCTGGTGAGGGGATTCATTCTGTCAATGCACATATTGGCTTGTATTCCATGTTTGTCACAGGCTTGCATTACTGGTAGAACATGATAAACACTTGGATTGCAGAGAGTATCAGACATCGGTCCGTTTCTGCTCTTGCTGAAAGTCCTCTAGTGGAAGCCCACTAACCTCTGTGTCTTTGATCCTAACAAAAGGAATGAATGCAACCATGAGGCGGATAGATCAGGTGACTAACATCCTGGCCCCACTAGCAGTGGGACAGGTCATGACCCTGGCCTCTAATGTAGTTGGCTGTGGTTTCATCCTGGGCTGGAACCTTGTGTCTCTCATTGTGGAGTTCTTCTTCTTGTCACGGGTGTACCGCATCGTCCCTGCTCTTTCAATCAAACCACCAGTGGTGGAGGAGGCTCAGGTATATCTGCAGAGGATGGAGAGGAGAAGTTCACAAGGTATGGATCAATGTGTTTCACTTATTTTTTTAATATTTCTGAATACTCCTGTATTCCTAGATTTTAATATAAGAATGCTTTGAGATTTGTAGAAAATGTGCAAATGGAATCCTACATGTGTTTAGTTATAAAAATATGTTTTGGAGCTATGCAAGGGGGAGGCTAAAATATGTAGACAATGCTTGCTTTTTAACAATGTACAACGCTAGTTGGCAATATAGAGACGACATACACCACCTACTATTACCTAAAGGTGATCAGTATTAGTTTACTGCAGTACAAATTAAAATCACATTCTCCTATCTAGTGTCTATCAACACTTACATTACACTGGCTCCTCTTTCAAAGGTGAGCAAGAAAGTGTTAAAGTTCAATCCATGTCAAAAACTTTGAAATCCAATTCAGACGTTGAAATCAGTGCTTCGGTGGTAGGACTGAGCAGTAGACATCATTGAAGATGCTTATGTGTGCCAAAGGATTTCAATGTAAAATGACGGTCAAAAAATAGATAACAATAAATACCTTGCCAATTCTTTGAAATTACATCAGGAAACTATATATATTCTATATCATTGATTTTTGACATTTCAGTCCTCCAGATTTTTATAGGAAGCATTTGTTGAATTATAAAATTATGTAATTAGCCTGGAGTCATTTTCTACAGTGGGCTTAATGAGTGCTGTAAGTTAATTAATCAGGCTAAAGGCATTACAGAATAAAAATGATCAAGCTCCAAATCTTCATTGAAGCATACATTATTTAAAGACACAATTCTCAGTTTGTGTACAGCACCCAACTGCCGCAGTCCACATAGTCTGCACTGCATTTGCAGATTAGATTTATAGATTAGTGTAGATACTCTTTATTTGACAGATGATGTGGCTTTTAACATGAGAGCAGAAAGGGTGCAGAGTAACAGCTGAGGATTGGGCTTTTAACATTTATGAACAGAAGTGACGGATGACATTCCTCTTTCTCATCAGAGGAAGGTAATGTTGCACAACCCCAACCTCTGACAGAAGGTAACTGCAACACAAGCCTGCACCTAAAAGAAATTACCGACCTGCCGCTGTGTTTCCGGAGGTTTCGCTGGCTGGTGAGCACCTGTAAGGATGGCTGGAGGGCCTACTATCGCCAGCCTGTCTTCCTCGCAGGAATGGGTCTGGCTTTCCTCTACACCACAGTCCTGGGCTTTGACTGCATCACCACTGGCTATGCCTATACTCAGGGCATAAGTGGCTCTCTTCTTAGTCTGCTGATGGGTGTATCAGCTATCACAGGGCTGATGGGCACCGTGATGTTCACCAGACTCAGGAAGACCTATGGCCTGATTAATACAGGGATCATCTCAAGCTGCCTCCACCTGGGCTGCTTGCTGCTGTGCGTGTGCTCTGTGTTTGCTCCTGGCAGCCCAATGGATCTTAGCTTGCTGATGCCCTACATTAACTCCAACTCCTCTTCTGAGCTTGGAGGGATGACAAGCCAAAGGCAAAAACACACCTATCCTCTGAGGGGAGGCAGCAATCAGCCACTGCTACCTGACCGCTCCTCCATCCACTGGACCAACAACACTGTGCTTTTTGATAACGTGCCCTCTGGCACGGCGCCAGAATCGTACTTCTCCATCATCCTGCTGTTCTTGGGTGTCATCACAGCACGCATTGGTGAGTAGACAGACATCCAAAGCTAACTGGTTACTGCCAAAGTTTTGCCATTATATAATCTATCCAAAATGTCACACTCTGTATATATATATTTAGATGACAATTACAGTATTTTCCTTTCACTTTTGGCATTACATTTTATTGATAGTTGACAGTAGAGTTGCAATGTCCATATATGGTATGTGGTCTAACCACTGGGCCACCAGGATGGCCCACAATAAGTGTATGTCCTGCTGCTATGACTATTGGCTAATTTAATGGCCAACTTTTTAAACCCAAATGACATCTGTGTTTTAGGTCTATGGTCCTTTGACCTGACAGTGACCCAGCTGCTGCAGGAGAACATCTGTGAGTCAGAGAGGGGTGTGGTAAACGGGGTGCAGAGCTCTATGAATTATCTGATGGATCTGCTACACTTCATCATGGTGATCTCCGCTCCACAGCCACAGCACTTTGGTATCCTAGTTATCATTTCTGTATTATTCATCACCACTGGGCACACTATGTACTTCCTGTATGCGCACAAAGCCAAGAGAAAACGTCGCCTTGACACATAAGGAGCAGACAAGGTCCACGTATCCAGGCATGAGATGCTTACCAGCACTGAATCCACTCTGCACCTGTGAAATGAATGTGTCCCTCCTGTTCCTTCAGCAATGTTATTGCAACACTCCACTCCCGACTTAGCCATTCATTTCAGCACAGCACAGCAAGTGCCTGTCCCACCTAGGTTGCTTTCTTCCAGCAGGGCCATGTGCCACAGCAGCAAACAAGAACTCAGGTGAAAAAGAGTGGGAGACGCTCCCCCTTCGTGTACATAAGTTGAGGTGGCTACAATAAAAGCAGCAACAGTACCTCCAGGGGAACGTCCTAATCTAACATACAACAGGACAAAAAGGTAACGGCTAAGGCACACGCCTTCGCAAACCCTGTAGGATTACTGCAAGACTTTCATCAAACAAGCCTGTTAACTTACATACCTTTTTGGATGGGAGGGTGGATGGATGGAGATATTTTTCTAACCTTCACTCAGTAAAGAACTGGTGTTGTGAGGAAAACTTAACAGTGATACATGAAAATACAAATGAGACGAGACAGTACTTCTACAAGTGGCATCGATGTTACTGATCCGTCCACTTGGAAATATTTCAGGATGTCCAAAAAGGAACATAAAGGGAACTTGATGTGATTTGTTTGATTAAAAATAATCTGAAAGGGCGCCCCCTTTTAAATGGACAGAAGTATTTCCTTCCCCTGGTTTGTTTCTCTGTGGATGAATCAAGCGAACATTTGCCTTTCTTTTATGCATGTAAACCTGGCTTATGGATTACAGCAACAAAGATATTATCACGTCACGCCATGTACTTTAGTCAAACTTCTTCCAAACTATTTTATTCTAATTGCTTGTGTACTTAGATAAATAAAAATAGTTTCCAAACTTTCTTTCCTTCCAATATAAAGAGTGATATTAATAGGTTTATAGAAATCCAAGAGGAAAGCAATCTTCATTTTGTGACACATTTGAAATCAATGATAGCTATTTGTTGATAGCAAATGTCGATCACTGCCATCGGCAGCGTTGTATTACACTTTGCTTAATTCTTTTGTAGTTCTGATGAACTAAACATTACCTTACCTCATCTAAGAACAAGAACACTGTTGGGAATATGACTTGGGAATTACTCTCAGCTACTGTATGTTTTCATATCTACTTCATGTACAGTGCAAATACCATCAAAGTTTAATCTTTTGTCATACAACCAGCAACACATCTCAATATATTTGTATAATTTCCCTGTGACATTTCCGTATTGTATGTTGTCCTTATTTTTCAGACTGATAATTATGATAATAAAGATGACTGAAGATGATCTTTGGCCTCAAGTCCTCTCGTCAGAAAAATCCACAAATTATTACTGTATAATGTAAAATAAAGCACAAGACATTACACAAGATGAAGTTGCTGTCCAACTAGTAGAAAGCTTATACAATCTGAGATATACCACAGGTGGAGTAAATTCATTATCAGTCACCATCAAGCTGTTGCACTCACAATGCTATCATTGTAGCCAAGGGGAGACTGCAAGAAGAAAACTTTTGCAAGGGGAAGATATAAAACATTTACACATTATATAAATGTTGAGGACATAAACATGTAGTGAGGGAACATAATACACAACAGCCATTTGCAAATGTATTGGCTTTTTGTGGCCAGTAGGGGTCAATGTTACATGGACAACAACACACCAAGACAGGAAAGCCTTAGGCCATTGTGCATTATTACTATAGAAATGAGACGCAATATACACACACAGTTTATTTATACTGTATCATGATCCTTGGGTTTTATTTCAATTGTCAGCACCATTCAAGTGTTATTATGATACTGGTGACATGGCGACTGGTATCACCCAGAGGAAGACATATGAGGGTAGCATAATAATAGAAACGCATGAGGGAAAACACCTACGAATTGAAGGATGTGGAAATGCAGTCTGCACTCCAGATATTCTCATCATTACATTGGCGTATGCTGTCTTTTTCTGCCTTGTTTTAAGAATTATGGAGGTCACTAAAATAATTTTAACCAAACCCAAACTGAAAAATGAACTAAATTCTACTAAAAGAATTGCGCCATCACAGGAAAAAAAAATCTAATCAAATTTAGATGTATGTGCTGATGCAAAAAACACATCAGAAAATAATACTGACCCATATTGCCTTACAGCATATTATGAATTATGCTTTAGGGCCATCCTCTCCAGTTGGGGGTAAAAATGTGTGCTGACTGAGAGGCACTTAAACCTAAATTCACACATCACACCTAACTGTAAGTGTTTATTTCATTGAGGCAAGGTGTCAGCCCCATGAAACTGCACTGTAAGATAAAATGCTTGAAGGACACAGTGATGTTAACTCTTCTCCATGCCGTGATGATGATTGCCTTACTAAATCTGCCAACAACCTACAACATCAGCTTCATCCAAGCCCAAGTTTATGCCTCCCATGTATTGTTATTAACTAGCATACATTTCAAGGTAAACCCCACGTCTAGAAGGACAATTTGGGCTTCCACTATGAATATCATTACAATGATGGAGGAAATGTCAAAAGCAGCGTCGATTACGGCTTTACAGCCATAAACTTAACCTATAAACTTTAACGGCTCCACCCTATGGCAGAAACATGAACACAATAAAAATACAAATCCACTCTCAAGGACTAAAAAGCAAGAAGAAAGGTCTTTTCCACATTAATTGGTCATGTTTGTAGCTGGAATATACTGTTTCTGGTATTGTCTTCATTTCAAAGTAAGCTGGCTGGGAGTTTCTGCTTTGTTTATTTATATCACTGTCTTTTGCTACATAAGTTAGTTAGCTAACTGTTAGCTAACAGTAGCTTCTCACGTAACGCTAGTTAAACCGAGACTCGAACGTTGATCAACCTTAGCTAACTACGTTTGAGGCATAGAGCTCTAGCCAAACTTTAAAAAGTTGTTTGAAAAGACTTACCAATGTTTTGAATACATCAGCCGGTTCCTCACATATCTGTCCATGTTGGAAAAATAATCCGTGGGTTGAACACATAAGGTAAGAGGTTAGAAGATGAGGGTTTTTCCCAAATTGTAATTCTCTTATTCAAAGAAACAAAGATGGCAACCGGAAGTGACAGTTCTTTAGGTTTAAATCAAATAGACTGTTTCTATTGTGTCGTAGATTGGATAGGCTTAATTTCATCTGGATATAAAAGAATCTGAGAAATATAGAAATGGCATAAAACGGCTGCATTTCCAATGCACCTGTTTTTGCTTCTTTTCAAAGTTGTGGCTCTCAGAAAAACAGATATCTGTAATGTTATGTAATAACTTGTGCAAGAATTACATGGTTTACTAAATGCAGCATAATAAACCTTGCAATGTCCTCAATAATGTACACCCAGAAATTCCACTCTTGCCTCATCATAACAGTATTGGCAAGTGGTTACAATATGGTGGACCGATCATTTATTTCCGGTTGGTCTACTACTGGGTCCATATGGTCTCATCAGTTATAAAAATTTAAAACAAAGCCAAGAATATGCAACATTCGACCAAACTGCTGAAACTCAGAGAGCTGGTCAAAACAATACTGCTGTCTTATAATCAATAGTTTACAATGACTCGCTTAGCTCAGTTTTAGCAAGGCCATAGTAGCAAGAACAGTAATCTCAAAACTAGCCTATGTATTGACGCCATTTGTAATGTGAGTTCAGCATCAAACCACATCTCTTATTAGCATTGAAGAATTGTCCCAATATTTACTCTTATTTGGCTTCTTATTGCTTCTTTTCTTAGCCATCTTCGTGTTTCTGTGACACTAATCGGGGGCTGAATGTTACCCTTGGGGCAGCTCTAGTTGGACTGAGGCTAGACCGGACACTGCAGTGACTCACTATTGTCTCTCAAGGCACAGGTGGTATTACAACACAGGTATGGCTGGGGCTATCAAGTTAGCATTCTAATTATGTCTCCGCAACACAATATATAGATGTCAATTACACAACATCAGAACACTTACTTCACATTCTGTTGATCATGTTAGTTAATTTGTTTGAATATTTTAAACTAAATTTCTGGCCAAATCTTACACATTGTACATTCAATGTTATACTGAACAGAGGTGGAGGAGACACAGTATGTTATTATGCTGTTGCTATTGTACTTTAATGCCTCTTTGAAGTCATGCCTGCACTACTGTCCTACAAATTAGCCTTTGTGTTTGAAAGAATGCTGTAAGGAATCATATTTATCACATTTATCTCGTGTAATTTCAATTCGTAAGATACAGTAGAGTATTAATGCTGAAAACAGGTTACATTACATTCGTCATTCATACACTGTTTGATGATGTCATTGTTTCCGTTGTTTAGTATCTTAACTTATCTAATTTTTATGAGATTGTGCAGCTGTTTAATTCCTGTACTTGACTGGGTATTATTTTGGAAAGGGGATACTGTAACAAGCTCAATAGAGTTTCATCACTTTCTCATTCTTTGCAGTGCCATTGGCCTCCAGCAACAGTGTGCCTCCCATGGTTGTCATGGTAGTCCCTGGTTAAAGAAAGCAGTATGGGAGCGAGCTCGCTAACAAGTCTGACTTTAGGCATTCTCACTTTGCAATTCATTTACTTGAGAAACTGGGTCAGTAGTAGCACATTAAAGAGTTGTCCTCCTGGCTTTGTCTCACAGAGGAACGTTCACTAGGAAGGAGCAGAAAGGAAGAAAAGGTTGTTTTTAGATATTCAAGGCTAGTAATGTTGTTTGTTTCCTTCCTGTAGTGAATTGGTATAGAATAAGATACTGCTAAAAGACGGTAACATAGTAGTGGCTAGGTTCACTATCTAAAAAGGTTCAAATCAAGGATGTGGTAAAATAAGTTTCTTTTCTCAATCAATAAGCGTCAGTTTTGTGTAACCAATAAACTCGGGATGATTTGAAGAGTACTTGCTTATTTTATTAAATCCTTGAAGTTACAAATGATGAGGAATGCTTATCAGCGCATTCTGAATATAGAGACCCCAGCTACAATGAACGAGTGCCAAAATATTCAATAAAGAATTGAGGGATGAAATTACGTAACCGGCTTAATTCAGCAATACACCTGTACTCATGTCTAGTTATTAAATTGAATGTTTTTAATTTTGTGCTTTATTGTATTTTACTGTATTCAGTTTATCTTGACCTACCTTTTTATCTCACTGTTTAATTTCACTTTTTAACGTCTTATTTTTGTATTTCTGTGTTGCAAATTAGCATCCTATATAAAAACTGTTATACTTGCATCACATAGCTGTATTCACTTTATTTATGTGTCTTCCCCATAACCATAAATAAATAAGTTGTGCAGAAATAGGCTTAAATCCACTTTTTAAAATATATATTTTGTATAGGAGGGCAGTGGACATCTTCCCAATCAGTTACTTCAAAAGAACAAAAGAGCATTGTGGAATGATGGGTCTCACCGGCACATGAAAGAGAAACACCACCTAGAGATGGGGACCATTTCTCATTCTGCAGTTTACTGTGTCAGCAGTTTAGAACAGCAGCACAATTGAATGGCTTTGGAAGGACCCAGTCAAGCGTCACACTGCTGACAGAGGGGAAAAAGATATAACGCTAATAGATTAAGTGCTCATAGGAAGAATTAATGTCCTCGCTTTGCCTTGGTCAATACATGTAGGATCACACTGGTCCCTCTGTAGCTACACTAAGCAACTGTCGTGCTTCATTTAATTAGAAAGTGTCTGACAAGTCGGTGATCTTAATAAAAACAGACACTTTGTGCTCGTAGACTACAAGATTAAACAGCACGGAGACAGCTCAACGAAACATTGCTCTACAGCACCACTAGTGATAAAAAAAACTTTACTGTAGCTTAGAAAAAAGCTAGTATTAGGGCTACACCTAAGACTTTTATTATTAAGTTTTTATTCTTTTAATTTTGATCTAGAGCTGAAACAATTTGTCACTTAACAACTAAACAACTAAAAAGAAATCAGTAACTATTTTGATAATCAATTCATTGCTTTTCAGGCAAAAACGTCAACGGTTCTTTGGTTCCAGCTTTTCCGATCAGTTTTACTGGTTTTCTTTGTCTTAGGTGATAAAGTCTTTGGGTTTGAACTGTCGGTCAAACAAATAAGGACTTTGAAATCATCGCCATGGTCTTGACGGACATCGTCACAATTTTCAGAATGGTTAATCAATTAATTTAAAAATGTATTCATTTCATGTTAATCAATAGATTAAGTTTTACATCTACAAATAATTGAATCTAAATGTCTGAAAATACTTTTTTTTAAATGCCCATCATAGTTTCCACACACAAGTTAATGTCTTCAGTTTGATTGTTTTGTCTGACCTACACTCCAAAAGCCATAGATATTCAATTTAGACTATTAAACTGTTGCCAAAATTGTTGGTCAATAGATTAGTCAATTGAAGATTTCAACACTACTGGTTATTAAAAGGCTGTTGTCCGTTCTTATCATTCTGCTAGCTCCTCCAAACAACCGGCAAATTGAGACAAACTCTTTCACAAAATGTTCCACATAGATCATTTACATTACATTTATATGCTGATCCCTCTTGTCTCTCCATCTTATTATTGTGTGATGAATATGTATAATTTACTCAGCTGCATGTAGGTGACATTCATTTACTGTATTGTATCCATTCAGACTGAAAACGGGACAGTTATGGATCTTTTTTTGGTGGTTGTGCCTGAATGACCTTAAAACTCTACACACACATAACATATCCACCTCCACCCTTAACAAGTGTTTGACCTTCCAGTGTAATGTACTTTGCCCAGTCTTGAATGTATGCCACTGCTCTCTCCTGCTTTCGGGAGATTATGAAACTTCCTTTTCGGGGCTGTCTGGCTCACACCAGATGTTTCCTGAATCCACTGTGTTCCTAACTCACTCCCCTCCCCAGTGGCAAAAGGCAAGGAAAGGTCAGAGAGAGGGAAACTGTCATTCGCTCTCACTAAAACCAAGCACAGAGAGATACCTGGAGTCCAACTGATGAAGTCTTTACTGCGCATGCCTCTCTGCTACAAAGCTGACCAAGGCATACAGCAACTGGGATTTACTTTACAGGGACAGACATCTCTGTAACTCACCTGAACAGCATACACAGAAACACACACTATATGTAAATGATTTTTTTAGCCACTCACCTCCTCTGACAGTTTTTTAAAGAGTAGTGTAAGCTCACAGGCAGAAGTCCTGCTGATTTGCCTCGTGGACAGTCAGTAGTTGGTGAGCCAGCGATGTCGTGGGACTGTGGCCTGAGGTACGTGTTCTCCGTGTCCCCTGTGCTGCAGCAGGGGAGCATGTGCATCCTACATGAGAAGGACGACCTGTCCAGACTGGAGATGGTCCAGAGATTGGCCAAGGATGGCTGCCGCTTCCTGCAGAACCACAGCAAGGGTCCAGAGAGGACGAGTCGGGTGAGATACACAACAACAATGCTGCAGTATTGCAATATTGATGTTTATAATATCTTTTTCCCCCCTACTAAATATGTTGTGAAATGCTGCACTCTTTGATGCGTTTCCATGAACAGGCCATGTCGCTTATGAGATTGTCCTCTTTATGTCAGTATGAGCCGTACTCAATTAGCATACTTTATGTTATATATTCAGTTGGAGAACAGTAGATAGTCCATTGTACTGTGGGCTATACTGTGGTGTTTTATGCTGCTGTTTTGTAAGAATTTTGCCTAAGCATCGCTTCTCGAACTCCCTGCAGGGTTCGATCCGTCAAACTGATTAATTTTTCTAGTTAATTTGTTGTCTGTTTTTATTGGCCTCCACACATTCTATAAAGTCTCCGCTTTCTCTGATGATGAATGTTGTCATTTAGATTCTGTCAAGACTACAAAAAAAATGTCTTCAGTTACATATATCAAAATAGACTGCTTCAAAAGAGATATAACAATTAGATTGACACAAAGAAGATTTTATAACTGTATACTGTAGAGTGCATTGCATTCATATTGATAAAAAATGTACATTATAAATGCACTGCATCCATTAAATGCAACATTGGCTCCATTTATATATAGTCACAGTGTCATCACAGAAACTTAACATGCATTTAGAACAGTGGTTCTCATGTCAAGGACCCCTAAAATGACACAAATTAGATCAAGTTTGATAAGATTTTGTCCCAGGGTCTCCATCTGATCGAAATTTTGCTTTTAGAATCAGAATCAGCTTTATTGCCAAGTAAGTTTACCCCTGCAAGGAATTTCCTTTGGTGTCTTGGTGCATAACAATAAACAAAATATATAAATGTAAAGTATAGAATTGACAAGATCCATCCATCCATCCATCTTCATCCGCTTATCTGGGATCGGGTCGCGGGGAGAATTGACAAGATGTAAAACAAAAATAAAAGAATCATGAAGAATATGTTTGTGTAGTGATATGCAAAATATTTATCACATTTATATGTGCAAATATACATTATGTTCTGTAGGTAGGGTAGTTAGGTTGGTAGGAGTATGAGGGGAGTGTCTGAAGCAGTTTGTGTCTGGGGTGTGATGGGGCGGCCACAGTCTTTCACCCTCGCCTCAGATTCCTGGAGGTGTACAGGTCCTGTAGGGATGGAAGATTGATTGGTTTAGATTGGTAGATGTTTTATTATAGAAACTTTTTGAAACCCATGATCAAAATAGTCATTATGTTACTTAGGGATGGAATTATAGTGAAAATAAATGGTTCCATGTTTTGCTGGGGTCTCCCTGGGGGGTCCCTGAACCCCACTTAAGAACCACTGATATAGAATACAGTTAGTCTCTGTCAGTGTGGCGGTATCCTCAGGTTTCAGGAGGGTTTTTACTTCAAAGCACTGCAGCTATGCTATTATTGAACAATTATGTTCAGTTCAACCTGCACACTTATTTTATTGAAACATTACATCACCTGCCAGTTGGGTGTGTAGGAGACATCTGATTGGCTGACCTCATGGTGGGCTCAGCTTCTCCCTTCCTGCCAGCTGTATCTGTATGCTGAACTGAACAACAATGGAAGGAAAGGTTGACGCAAGTGGAAAGACCAACTTGCCAAGGCATTGTATGGTTTTAGGGTGGATTCCAGTGCATCAGGTCTCTGACCTTTTCTGCAAACACAAAGCTAGATCTCCTTATCAATGTTCTTATTCAGTGTAATGACCTTTTGTCTGCGCTAAACCACCCCCAATCAAATGTTAGGGCTGCATAATACAATCAGGTATCCCTTTACTGTTTCAGTAACATGCATTGTGCAAAGTGTCTCATATTGTGAATTTATTATGAATATACCAATAACATGTATGTATGTGTCATTTATGTAATTCCAGCTGTAATGGCCAGATATGCTGACCTTGTATTTAATACTAGACATTATCTAGAAATATTAAGATTATGTGAGATTATCTAGCATAGTTTCTGGATTATAGAATGGTTTAAAGTAATCCAATGATTCTACAACGCACAAACTGTACCACATGTGACTCATATAAATTTGTAAGCCCAGACATCAAAGAGAAATCAGTTAAATCCCAGCTGTTGGAAAGAGGGATGCTTAATGTACAGTTGGCTGCACGCCTGTGAAAATGTGCGAGATTCTGGCGCAGGGAGATCATGAACGTTAGGCAGTCTCCTTACATTTGAAGCCAAGCATGTTTCTAGGTCTTTTCCTTTGCTAGTTTAGAGGCAAAACTATTTGTAATTCATTTAGCTGTGAAAACCTGTCAGTTTTAAATGTAATAGTTTTGACTTTGGAAATCACTTGTTCTTGTGTCCTTTTACGTCACCTCTGTTTTCTGTTTGTATTCAGGAGTACCAGAGAGTTACCAGAGATCTGTTGCTTGTGCTTTGTACATCTGAAAAGAACATAGAGCAATTGTAGAGAACAGGAGCTTGTCATGCACACACTTGTTTACAGTATATTATCAGAGCTTAATGTATTAAACAGAAATTTCAGTTAATTACTGTTGGAGATAATGTATTGCATCTGCATCAAAGGGTTCTTTAAAAAACAACACACATTCTTCCTCTTCTTCCCATTCTGTATGATCCGCATTATTCCTTGAGAGGAACTTAGTCCAAATCTGCACCCTGTCAGGACTGACACCTTCCAGGTACCTTTAAGTGTTCTGTACCATGCGTGCCAGACCTGCTGCAGCAGCACAGATACATGCAGACTGAAAGTGTCCGTTCAGCTGCTGGAATGCATCTGGAACCCTGAAAGAAACAGTAAACTGTTTTGTGAGACATGACTTTGTGTAGAAGCCT